CATTCAAAGAACGCGATTAATAAGACACCTAAAAAAACTGATTCCACTGATGTTCAAGCTACTATGCGTCGAGTAAGGGAAGCACAATTAAGAATTGCAAATCGATTGAACACAGATGGGCCGACGGCAGATAATTCCCCGACATCTATGAATGATGTTGAAATGATGGATGCTAATAACTCGCCAGCTGCCGATGCAACCGTTCCTCGTAGTCGGTCAAAATCCGTTAGGCGCAGTAGAACTAGATCTAGAACAAGGAGCCGAAGCAGGCCTAGAAGACGTAGATCAAGGTCTAGAGAAAGGGGTAACTTCAATAATAATAATAATAATAATAATTCTCATGCATAAATCAAGAGATTCTTTTTTAACACATAATTTTGCTAGATTATCATTATCGCAGACGATCCCGTTCAAGAGATCGTGATAGAGGTACTTATTTTTTTCTTTTCATGCTTAGCATATGCATTATATTTTTACTAATTTTATTTTAGGTGACCGATACAGAGAAAGAGATCGCGACAGAGATAGAGAAAGAGAACGCGATCGTGAACGAGACAGAGAACGTGATAGGGACCGAGATCGTGAACGGGATAGAGATAGAACGGATCGTGATAAAGAACGCGAACGCGATAGGGATCGTGATAAAGAACGTGATCGTGATAAAGAAAGGGATAGAGAACGAGATAGGGACAGAGTTCAGGATCGTGAGAAAGAACGAGATAAAGAAAAGGATCGTGATAAAGAAAAAGATAGAGAAAAGGATCGTGATAAAGAAAAAGATAGAGAAAAGGATCGTGACAAAGAAAAAGATAGAGAAAAGGATCGTGACAAAGAAAAAGATAGAGAAAAAGATCGTGATAAGGAGAAAGATAGGGAGAGAGATAAAGATAAAACAAAAGATAATGAAAGGGATAAAGATAAAGTAAGAGATAATGATAAAGACAAGGAAAGGGAAAAAGATAGCAGGGACAAAGAAAGGGAGAGGGACCGGGAGAAGGAGAGAGAGAGGGACAGGGACAGAGACAGAGACAGAGACAGAGACAGGGATAGAGACAAGGAGAGGGAAAGGGAAAGAGACAGAGAAAGGGAGAGGGAGAGAGACAGAGACAGGGATCGAGATAGGGATCGAGATAGGGATAGGGACAGGGATCGGGAAAAGGATAGAGATAGGGAGAGGGACCGGGAGAGGGATAGAGATAGGGATAGGGATAGAGAAAGGGAAAGGGACAGAGAAAGAGAAAGAGAAAGGGATAAAGAAAAAGATCGAGACAAAGAACGTCGACCAAGAAGGTCTTCACGTTCAAGGTCGAGATCTACTAACCGTCGTCGTTAGGCATATAATTTGTGATAAATTGTAGCTATGAACTTGTAATTATCATAATTTTCAACCTGGTGATTCTCATTGCAATAATTCATAAAATAAATCTAAGGCGTGATTTTGATTAGATAAAATAACTTTATTAAAAACATAGATTTCCTCATTACAAGATTGTGTTATTACAGTTGTCTACAAGAGACATGAAACTTTTAAGAGATATTAAATCAATTCATTATGGTATAAACTGAAAAATTATAAATCGTGAAAATCTTTTCCAGCGATGGTGGCCTTTACATAACCTTTCCTAATTACAAAATCGCCAAATCTTTCGCCATCCAATCTTTCTTTAGAATATCGCAACAAAATTGGTTTTAACTCTTTTAAGATCGCATCTTCTTTCATGTTTTCCTTGTATAGCTTATTCAACCTTTGACCGTGAAATCCTCCTCCCAAATAAACATTATATGTACCTACGGTTTTTCCAACGAACGCGATTTCTGCCACATAAGGGCGTGCACAACCATTAGGGCATCCTGTCATTCTGATTGTAATAGCATCGTCTCTTAATCCTACTTCCTCTATAATAGATTCTAATTTTGAGACAAGTGAAGGGAGATATCTTTCAGACTCTGCCATTGCTAAACCGCATGTTGGTAACGCCACACATGCCATTGAATTCATTCTGAGACCGGTGAACTGTAGATTGTCTAACTTGTATTTCTTTAACATTTCTTCGATTTTTGGCTTATCGGCTTGAGAAATATTACCGAGGATGAGATGTTGGTTAGGTGTCAATCTAAAATCACCCTTATGTATCTTTGCAATTTCACGTAGCCCAGTCTTTGTCGGTAATCCTGGAAAATCTTTAACGCGACCATTTTCTATGTACATACAAAAATGCCATTTATCACCAAGACCTTTTGTCCAACCGTATCGATCAGCATTATCTTCAAAATGATATACAGCCGGTGGATCTAGTTTGTATCCTAAACGAGATTCTACCTCCGAACGGAACCAATTAAGATCCCTATCATCAATTGTATACTTGAGGCGTGCATGCTTACGGTTAGTTCGGTCACCAAAATC